TTGGTACATGCCCCTAGCAGGAACCGAACCCGGGACTCTCTGGTCCGCAGGCTAACACTCCGACCGCTGAGCCAAACCAGCCAGGGTACCTGGCTTCCTTTTCTTTGGGTACTGTTTTTTGTTTGTTTGTTCATTTTGGGTTTTTTTTGGGGGGGGGTATGTGCCCCTAGCGGGAACCAAACCCAGGACTCTCTGGTCTACAGGCCGATGCTCCAACCGCTGAGCCAAACCAGCCAGGGTGCTTTGGGTACTGTTTGTGAGATTCATTCATGGTATTGCATGCAGCAATACTTCCTTTCTTTTTGTTGCTAAAGAATATTTTGTTATTATATTATGAATGTGTCATAGTTTATTCATTCACCTATTGATAAACATTTGAGCTGTTTCCAGTTTATGGCTTTATAAAGCTATTATAATGATCTCTGCCTGTGAGCCTTGATGCACATCTATTATTATTATTATTATTATTATTATTATTTTTTATCCTCACCCGAGGACATTTTTCTATTTTTTGTACAGACAGAGTGGGAGGGAGAGAGAGGAAGAGAGAGAGAGGGAAACATCGATGCGAAAGGGACACATCGAGTGGCTGCCACCCGCACGACCAACCAGGGCCGGGGACAAACTGCAACCAAGGTACATGCCCTTAGCGGGAACCGAACCCGGGTCTCTCCGGACCGCAGGCGGACTCTCTAACCGCTGAGCCAAACCGGCCAGGGCTTGATGCACATCTATGTTTTTATTTCTCTTAGGTAAATATCTAGGGATAGAATTGAATCATAGGACAGGTGTGTTCAGTTTTGTAAGTAACTGCCAGATCTTTTTCTGAAGTGGTTGTACCATTTTTCATTCCCACACAATGTAGGAGGCTTACAGATTTTTTTTTTTTTTAAATTTTTTTTTTATCCTCACCTGAGGACATTTTTCCGTTTTATTTTGTTCAGGTAGAGTGGGAGGGAGAGAGAGGAACAGAGAGAGAGAGAGAGAAACATCAATGCGAAAGGAACACACCGAGTGGCTGCCACCCGCACGACCGACCAGGGCCGGGGACAAACTGCAACCGAGGCACGCGCCCCCAGCGGGAACCGAACCCGGGTCCCTCAGGACCGCAGGCCGACGCTCTAACCGCTGAGCCAAACCGGCCAGGGCAGGAGGCTTACAGATTTTGAACCAAAGAATAAAAACACAAATTGTAAACTGCTATAATTTTTGTCATCTAAACTTTTTTTTTTTTTTTTTTTTTTATCCTCACCCGAGGACATTTTTCCATTTTTTGTTCAGGTAGAGTGGGAGGGAGAGAGAGGAACAGAGAGAGAGAGAGAAACATCGATGCGAAAGAAACACATCGAGTGGCTGCCACCCGCACAACCGACCAGGGCCGGGGACAAACTGCAACCGAGGTACGCGCCCTTAGCGGGAACCGAACCCAGGTCTCTCAGGACCGCAGGCCGACGCTCTAACCGCTGAGCCAAACCGGCCAGGGCTAAACTTTTTTTTTTTTTAATAAAAAGGACATTTTTCCATATTTGTTCAGATAGAGTGGGAGGGAGAGAGAAGAAGAGAGAGAGAGAGAGAGAGAGAAGCATCGACATGAAAGAGATACATCCAGTGGTTGCCACCTGCATGACCCAACCAGGGCCGGGGACAAACTGCAACCGAGGTACGTGCCCTTAGCGGGAACCAAACCCAAGTCTCTCTGGACCGCAGGCCGACTCTCTAACCACTGAGCCAAACCAGCCAGGGCATGTCATCTAAACCTTAAGTAATTTGGTTCAGAATATTCTAGCTAACAAACAGCTACTCTGACCACACTTTCAAATGAATAATGATTTAAAATGAGGAGATGACACTTTCACAATAAAAATAATAATAAAAACACTAAAAAACCCAGGAATAGAAGGGAACATCCTCAATCTGATAGAGGTCATACAGTATACTTTAAAAATATATATTTTTATGATTTTTAGAGAGAGAGGAAGGGAGAGGGAGAGAGAGAAACATCAACAGGCTGCTTCCTGCATGCCCTCTACCAAGATCGAGCCTGCAATCCAGGCATGTGCCCTGACCAGGAATCAAACTGGCAACCTTTCAACACACCAATGACACCCAACCAACTGAGCCACACAGGCCAGGGCACCGACAGCATACAGACTAAATGCTTTTCTCTAAGAGCAGGCACCAGACATGGATGTCTGTCCTCACTACTTCTATTCAACATTGTTCTCAAGGTTCTAGCCTGGGCAGTTAGGCAAGAAAAATAAACGGCATCCAGATTAAAAAGGAAGAAGTAAAATTACTCAAGTTGCAGATGACATGATCTTATATAGAGAAAATATAAAGTAAGGAATTCACTAGAATGAGGTGATACATTTTATGACACCCAGTAGAAATCTGTATTTCCAAAATTCAATGGCTTTCTTCAAACCGCCTCTTCCTTTATTCTCACATTTTCCCTTCATTCCTGGCAAAAAATAAGCCCAATTCCCCTTTTATTTTATTTTTTTTTAACTACTTCCCATCTATTCCCTCCACCCCCTCCATCCCATCCCTCTCTAAAGTTTTGTTGTAATTATCATCTTTGACCTGCCCACGAAGACCTTTGTTTCTACTTCTATGGATCCCCAAGCTCCAGTCTCTTCCTCCTGCACTGCCTTCTAAATTATGCTCCTCTTCTGCTCAGTATTTTATTTTATTTTTTAAACATTTTATTTATTTATTTATTTATTTATTTATTTATTTATTTATTATTCTCATTTTTCCATTTTTTGTTCAGACAGAGCGGGAGAGAGAGAAAGGAACAAAGAGAGAGAAAGAGAGAGAGAAACATCAATGTGAAAGGGACACATCAAGTGGTTGCCACCCACACGACCCAACCAGGGCCAGGGACAAATTGCAACCAAGGTCAGTGCCCTTAGCGGGGAACCAAACCTGGGTGTCTCTGGACTCTAACCGCTGAGCAAAACTGGCCCGGGCACTGCTTAGTGTTTTAAAGTAGTTCTCTACTGCCTGTCTTCTGTGTTTATGCGTGTGGGGCATTGTGTAGCTAATTTTTTAAAACTTTATTAAGGTACAATTTACATATAAAGTTTACCCATTTTAACTGAACGTTAACTGATTTTTAGTAAATTTATTGAGTTGTCCAACCATCACCATAATCCAGTTTTGAATATTTTCATCACCCTGCTAATATCCCTCCCCTGGTTGGCTTGCAAAGGCTGGTCCACCCAAAAGTCTACCTGCAAGTACAGTGTTTAGAAGTTAGGCCTGAGGGGTTTGAAGTTCTGAATAAAGGTCTAAAACCTCCAGGCAACAAGTAAAGGATTGATTTTCTGCCTCTCTTCCTTCTAAAAAATGAAGTCCAGGATGTGGGCTCTGATCCTGGGTGGGGGGCGTGAGGGAGTGTGGGCGGGGGGGTTTGCTGATGGATGTCTCGCTAGCGCATCCATGTTTCTCTCCCTCTCCCTTCCTCTCTCTCAAAAAAAAAAAAAATCTATAGAAGTTAAAATGAAATCTTGGTTAAGCATTAAACCAATCATGGTATCTTGGCCCATATCTCCATTTCCATCAGAACAGCTCACCATTTTCTTCTCCAGCTACCCTCTAAGATAAAACACTCCTCTCCTGAGTTGAGGCATTCTTCTTTTTTTTTAATCCTCACCTCAGGACATACATTTATTGACTTGAGAGAGAGAGAGAGAACATCTATATGAGAAATATCCATTGGTTGACTCCCGCACGTGCCCCAACCAGGGATCGAACCTGCAACCTGGCTGGGTATGTGCCCTGATCAGGGATCAAATACAAGACCTTCCAGTGTAAGGTGTCCAGCTAACTGAGCCCTACTGGCCAACAAGGCATTATTTATTTTATTTTATTTTTTTTACTTTATTGATTTTAGAGAGAGAGGAAGGGAGAACGAGAGAGAACATTGATTGGCCGCCTCCTGCATGCCCCCCCCTGGGGGTTTGGCCCACAACCTGGGCATGTGCCCTGACCGTACTCCAACCGGGACCTCTTATTGGCATGGGTCATGCTCAACCACTGAGCCACCAAGGCATTTTTTTTTTTTTTTTGTGGTACTTGCCCCTAGCAGGAACCGAACCTGGGACTCTCTGGTCCGCAGGCCGATGCTCAACCGCTGAGCCAAACTGGCCAGGGCCCAAGGCATATTTTTAAAAGAACTTTCTAGTTCAGAGCGCCCCCAAGACTACCAACCTCATCCTCCACAGTAATGTCAGCCCCAGTCCAAGTCCCCCATGCTCCTGCTCAAGAAACATTAATTCACCCTGGCCGGTTTGGCTCAGCGGTTAGAGTGTCGGCCTGCGGACCAGAGAGTCCCAGGTTCGGTTTCCTCTAGAAGCACGTACCGAAAAAAGAAAAGAAACATTAATTCATGTACTTCCTTTGCCAGTTACAACTCTGCCACCCCTAATGTGCACAACTGGGTCCCCTTCTTCATTGCCTGTCAGCCTCGTTTCCCTAACCTCCAGACAAATCCCTAGCCTGAGTCTTTCTCTTCTTCATCCTCGCCTGACTCGCCGGGTCATCACTGCCCAGACCCTGGCACCCCGGACCTCAAAAACGCTAATGCCAAAACCAGAGGTTGACGCGCTTAGGGGAGGGGAGTGTGTAAGCGTGTAAGTGTAGGTGTTGTGTGTGGAAGAATCCAACAGAGTCCATGCCGGTGTCCATCTGCTGGAAATGCTAATCACGCCCTCCTAAGAAAGCGAGTATCAGCTCCCCATTGCACCCCAGCAGACAGCATTCAGAACAGTGGTCAGAGGGAGCAAGGCTCCCCCAGGGCCCCGGGCCCAAGGGGCGCCCCGCCCCACCAACGCTACAGCGCACCCCCGCCACAGCACGATGGTAGGGCCCTGCGGCGACGTCACCCATTGTTTACAAATCACCCGGAGCCGGTAGGATTCCGGCTACTGCCGCTGAAACGCGCGGCACGAGTGCCTGCCGGTCGCCGGCTTCCGCGTCTTTCCCGGCCTCAGCCTCGGTCCCGGCCCCGGCTTCGGCCTCAGCACCGCGCCCAGCCTTGCTGCGGTCCACAGACCCGCCAGCGACGCCCGCAGAGCTCCGGTTACCCGGGTTGGGGGCCATGCCGTGCCGGAGGGAAGAGGAAGAGGAAGCCGGCGAGGAAGCGGAGGGGGAGGAAGAGGAGGAGGAGGAAGACAGCTTCCTCCTGCTGGAGCAGTCGGTGACGCAGGATGGCTCGGGCGAGGTGGACCGGCTGGTGGCCCAGATCGGCGAGACGCTGCAGCTGGATGCGGCACCGGACAGCTCTGCCTCCCCGTACGCGCCCCCCGGGCCACCGCTGCAGCCCCCGCGGCCCCCGGCGGCGGTGCTGGCGTACAAGGCCCGGCACCCCATTTTGCCGCTGCTTCTACCTCCCGCGCAGCCCGCGGCGGTGGGCCCTGCTCCCCCAGGGGCCCCTAGCTGCGTCCTCGGGGACCGTGGCCGCGTGCGAGGCTGGGCTGCCCCCTACTTTGTGGCCGAGCTCGCTGCAGGCCCCAGTGCCTTGTCCCCACTGCCCGCTCAGCCCAGCCTAGGTGGGCCTTCGAGAGCCGACAAGCGGGGCGCTCGCAAGCCGCTGTCGGGCCCGTGCCGGCGTGGATGGCTACGGGGTGCCGCCGCCTCCCGCCGCCTGCAGCAGCGCCGCGGGCCCCTGCCGGAAGTCCGCACCGGCGACGATGATCCACACCGGCTCCTGCAGCAGCTAGTGCTCTCGGGGAACCTCATCAAGGAGGCCGTGCGAAGGCTTCATTCGCGACGGCGGCAGCTACACGCAAAGCTTCCCCCACGCCCGCTCCTAAGGCCTCTGACGGCCGCACTGCACAAGCCCCCTTCGCCCCGCAGCCCTCCCGCGGCCTGCAGCGACCCTGGAGCGACAGGAAGGAGAGCGCAGCTCAGAACTGGCGACGGCGTCCTTGTGCCTGGCAGCTAATACCCCGGGGGTGGTTACTGCGCCAGCCTTTCCCGGGAGAATAAGGGATTCCCAAGAGGGCTGCATCCCGCTCTACTCAGACCGGTGAACTCGCACTTTTGGAAGCAGGGAAACAAGCAAACTAAGACGAGGAATCGAAAAATCGCGAATGGTTTCGCGGGGAACTGAGGGCAAGGGCCCCGACGTTGAAAAACAGGACTCAGTTGCCCTATTTAAGGCAGATTACAGAGCGCACCCCAAGCTCACAGCCGTTGGACTCCTTATTTTTGACGCGACCATTCTGGAGCCACCGCGTGCAACTCCGTGCAGCCTCTCCGGGCCCTCCATACCGGTGACTATGTGGCCACAGTTCATGCCTGGCAGGATCGCTGCTCGCCCTGAGCAGGCGGAGGATCCCAGTTACTTGTTTTACCTTTTCAGAGTTGGTTCCTGATTAACTTTGGGGGGAGGGGAACATGAATAGACGGATCATTTCAGAGAGTACCTCAAACTGCCAGACTTGAAAATTTACGACACTTAAAAAAAAAAACATTTTGTGTCTGTTGGGGTGCTGATTCTTAAAACACCCGGTACCATGAAAGGACCTTTTCTCTGCCCCCGCTTTGCAACTGGCTGCGGTTTTCCCAGTGGAGGGGAAAGCCGCGGTACGCCCAGGGTGGGAACCGGAGGTGGGGCAGGTGGTGAAGTGCTGGAGTCTCCTGAGGACACGCGCACCGCCGCCACCGCGGGTGCAGGGAGGCAGGCGGGGACGCGCTGGGCGCCGGTGCCTCCCGCGGGCCGCCGCACCCCGGCCTTTCATGGAAACTGTCCAGAGACGTGGCCTCGGGTCCCTCCTCTCCCCCTCAGCTCTACTGCTCTGCTCAAGAGGGTGGTGCTGGTGCTCCTGGGGGCCCGGGCTGGGAGCTAGGGAGACACCACGTGACGGGCACTCCAGGGACACACAGCCTCGCACAGCAGCTTATAATGGGCTCTCCAGGGCCATTTGTAATAACAGCTGCAATTCCCTGGGTAGATGGAGTTGATTTCCTCCCTCTGCCCCTCCCCCAGCCATGCCAGCTCGCCTTTGTAAGTGAAGGAAACCGAGTAGAAAATGTGACCCTCTAAATGGAGAAGCTGCAGGCTTTGCCATTGTGAACCGTGGTGAAGGGTTTGTACCACACTGTTCACTCACTCTGAGGGATTTAAGACTGTTCAGTTGGTGTTTTAGATTTATACGATTCAATGGCTGTTCATCATCCAGATGTGGCTATTGACTTATCTACACTTCGCACCGGAGTGTCTAGAATTGTGGCTATCCTGATTATAGGATTTTAACTTAACTGAGATATGTTTGTAATAAATGTGTTGCGTTTCTTGTCTGGTTTTATTTTATACTTGCTGTCGGTGGGAAAGATGCACAGAACACATTTCTCTGATCTCCATAAACATGAAAACACTTGAAATCTTTGTCAGCCTAGCTTGTGGATGGTAATTAGAGTGCCTTTGTGTCTGAGCAGCTCCCTAGTTAGACAGGGTCTGCTTGCCTGGGTGTGTATCGGTGCTGGCACGAAATTAAATGAAAGTCAGGTCAGGTTTTGGACCAAACTCTTTCACCAAAACCCTAGAGCCTTTGGATTACTAGTCAGTGGTGATGTTTTATGAAGCCGTATCTGACTGTTTTAGCGAAGAACATCAGATTAGTCACTGAAGACAGGGAGGCTTATCACTTCTTTTTTCTTTCTACCTTGTCATTCATTACGTGGACTTGTTCCACAAGGTGGCCCTAAGTCTGAGCAGCTCTTGTTTAGGGGTTGCTCAGGGTGCAACTCTGGTGGGAAAGCCAGCTGAGAGTGTATTAAAGGATTGCTCTCTCTGCCCTTGGCACGTGTGCTGCCCTTCTCTACCACGAAGTGACAGCCCATCTTGGTCCCTCCAGTTCTGAGTTACTTCAGTCTGTTTCCTAAAGAAAGAAGCCTGGCTGAAGACTGGGTGTTCAAATTCAAGTTTACTTGAATGGGGACCTTAGACAAGTTGCTCAACTGTGGGCTCCCATTTCCTCACCTGTAAAACAAACGAGAGGTGAGATGAGAAAAAGGGCTCATGGTGACTAGAGATAAAGTCTTTAGTCCCTACCCCTTCTTTCCCAGGATACTCCCTAAGTGGCTAGGTGATCCTCTGTTTCTCATAAAATAAGGGCATGCCATAAATCCCAAAAGTCCTTTCTGGATTTATTAGAGTCCTGACTTTCTAACTTCCTTTTGCACTCCATGCCTGTTGTCTATACCTCCTTATTCTCTCAAATACACAGAACCTGGGAGTCTCTGAGAAGTACCTCCAGAACCCACCAAGCCAGCCATTTCCCACTACTTGCCCAAAAAGTGTTGTAGGGGCTCAGTCTAGTGCCGTCCAGCAAGGGAGGGGTGATTATGGAGACTAACACAAACAGGAAGACAGCCACCAACAGTGCAGTGGTCTGTCACTTCTGGGCACTGAGCAGCAGGGGAAAGTGGTCAGGTGCTGACTTGCCCTGGCACTGGAGTAGCCCTGAGGTCCTTGGCCTGCTCTTAGCTGGAGTAGGATTCCCTGGAGGTCAATGGGTTAGGAGCAATTCAGCCCAAACTGGCTGTGATTCCATGCCACTCTGAGGTCATTTCAGAGTCTAGAACCCAGGCCTCTCCAGTAGCCTGACACCATTGTACATAGTTCAGTATCATTCATTGCACAACTCCACATATACAGCACAATGTGAATGATACCCCTGCAGTTGTCCAATGTGGTGGCCCTGCCATTAGAACCATGGAAAACCATGCTCCAGACACCTAGGCTGTGCTAGGGAAAGCTGTAACCATTTTCTTTTTAATTCTCACCTGAAGACATTTTTTGCATTTATCTTGAGATAGAGCGAGAGGGAGAGAGAGAGCAACATCGATGTGAGAGAGAAACATCGAGTGGTTGCCACCCACACGACCCCAACCGGGGCTGGGGACAAACTGCAACTGAGGTACATGCCCTTAGCAGGAACCAAACCCGGGTCTCTCTGGTCCGCAGGCCAATGCTCTAACCGCTGAGCAAAACTGGCCAGGGCTGTAACCATTTTCTTACAAAATGTTCAGCATCCTAAGAAGACAGTTGGCCACTGAAAATGGCCTGGGTGAGATAAAAGGCCAAAGCTATAAACTCAAAGAAAAACACAAAATAAAGAAATTGGCAAATAAGTGATTTGGAGAAAAGAATGCCACACTTCACAGAAAACGCCCAAGCCTGACACCCCAGGATTTCATTTTAAATTAGACGTAAATGCTACAATATTTGGATTCAATTTTTACCCTTTTTTTTCTCTCTCTCCTTTTCCTACTCAGAAGCAGAAACATGGAGTGACATCAGACACCACTTTCCTATCCAGCAAAGTCTGTTGAACCCTGTGATCCCTTCCTTCCAATCAGGAAAGAGTTACCCTGGCAACCAAATTACTAACTCACTCAATTAGCCCCCCCCCCAACCCCCATCTTCTACCAATGCTCAGTAATCACAGAATGTCAGCCCTGGGAGAGCTCAGCCTTTGGTAGTCTAGCACCACTGCCTCATTTGGAGATGGAAGCCCAGAGGTGTTTCCATGCCGAGGCGCGCTCCATTTGAACACAGTGAGGGCTGGTACAGGCAAAGGGACAAAAACTCTCGCATGCAGCACTTCCTCCTGGTTTTCCATCCATAACTGAAGGGAGAACAGGTGACCTGCCCATAACAGGGTTTCCCAAGAGGCATAATAGATCAGTGTGGGCTCTGCAGGCAGCCCTCCATTGCCAGCAGTGTGATTTGGCACAGATCCTTCACCACAATAATGTCAATGAATTCATCGACAAAATGGAGAATAAGAATAGAACCTACCTTGAAGAATTGGGTGAAGATTAAATTAGATAATGTATGGGCAGCAAATAGCAAACCAACACTAAAATAATAAAACATTTCTGGAAGCTAGTGCATGAAAGGCCGATATTTTAAGTCCTGCCTCCTAATGAATTCTTCAATCTGTTTCCTCTGAATATCAGACCAGTTTCTTGAGCATACACCCCTGTTGTGCAGGTAAGCACTCAGGAAAGTGCACTGAAAGGGAATAATCAGTCTAGAAGAGTTTTAATCAGAAAAGGGTGGAGGTTCCCTTCAAGCCAAATTGAAAGCAGCTCAGGATTGGGACTGGAGAGGGGAGGCGGCAGGGGATATTACAAAGGGGGAGGATGCACGGTGAGGACAGCTTGGGGCCACAGCTCTTAACTCCTCGATTTCCCTTCAGAAAACCCTTCCCTTTCTAATGCAAATTCAGTGCTTGCCTGAAGTTCTGTATGCTGGCCCTGTCCACTTTCATCTGTAATTTGGACTGAGAAAATCATGCAATTTCTTTGCAGTAAGGGATCTTCAAACTCATTTTGTTCTCACTCTTCATTTTATTTACTATCATTATACGTTTATCTCAGGAGCTCATATGTGAGTGTCTTCTTTTCCCAAAGCGATTATATATTCTTTGATGGCAGAGGAGCGACAAAATGAAGAGGATGTTTTAGGCAGATTATCAGGTAACACAGCATGGGTGAGGGACGGAGGTTGAGGGCGAACATTTTATGGTCAGCTAGATCAGCTGGATGGCTGTTAGAACACCCAGGCACCAGGTGATAAGGGCCTGGGCGGGAAGAAAGGGGGAAAGACAAGATACACATTCTGAAAGGAAAACCTTAGGCCTCAGTATAGTACAAAATGCTGTCCCTGGAGCCAGACTGCCGGGATCACAATTCTGGCTCTTTAAAGCTCTTTTTTGTGACGTTGAGCAGGTCACTTCACCTGTCTAACCTCACATTCCTCATCCACGAAGCTTGATAACAAAGGCCCTGCCCCATGCTGTTGTGAGGATTCATTGAGCTAATGCTAGTAAAAATGCTTAGGCCACTGCCTGAAACGTAGCTGCATTTAGTAACAACGCTGGGTATTGGCATCTAGTACATATTTACAGAGCAAACAAATTGGGCAATTTCAACAGACTTGTGGAAGCTGAGGGTGTGGGGTGTTTGGGGCAGAGCTGATGAGTTGTGGTGCCTGGAAGTTCAAAGAAGATGGAAAAGCAGGGACAGCAGCTAAAAAGGGAAAACAGGGCCAAAGGATGGATTTGCTCAAACAGGAGAGACCTGTGCTTGTGTGACTGTGGATGATGAGAAACTGAAGGGAAGAAGCCATAAAAGACAGGCTCCTTGAGGTTGGAAGGGATGGGATTCCCAGGGCTGGATAGGTTTAAAGGGCAGGGTTCAGCCCTGGCTGGTTTGGCCCAGCGGTTAGAGCGTCGGCCTGCAGTCCACAGAGGCCCAGGTTCGGTTCCTGCTAAGGGCACGTACCTCGGTTGCACTTTGTCCCCAGCCCTGGTTGGTCGTGCGGTTGGCAGCCACTCGATGTGTCCCTTTCACGTTGACGTTTCTCTCTCTCTTCCTCTCTCTCCCTCCCACTCTACCCGCACAAAAAATGGAAAAATGTCCTCAGGTGAGGATTAAAAAAAAGGGCAGGGTTCAGAGCGATGGTAGGAGTGAATGCCCCACGTGACAGCATCTTATATCACAAAGTGTCATACCACAGCAAGGCCTGGGACCTGCTGGTTGGTTTTTAAAACAACCTTGTATAACTCTTCATCCCTGGGATGGTTATGTTTCTGTTATTATTATATGAATTAATCTTGCTTCTCTGTACCTTATACTGCAACAGAATAAAAACTAAATCTGAGCCCAGCTGGTGTGGCTCAGTGGATTGAATGTTGTCCCGTGGACTGAGAGATCCTGGTTCGATTCCTGGTCAGGGCACATGCCAGGGTTGCAGGCTTGATCCCCAGTAGAGGGTGTGCAGGAGCAGCCGATGGGTGGTTCTCTCTCACACTGATGTTTCTATCTCTCTCTAGAAAAAGAAAGAGGGAAAAAAAAAACAAAAAACAACGAAATCTAATACCAAGGAATTTAACTGCTCTCCCTTATCAATTTAACTGACTCATAGGAAGTAAAATTCACAACCCCCAACTGATAAGCTATCTAGGCAGTTTAGTTTGTTTGACTTATTGACTTGGGTGGGTTAAAAAAGTCACAAGCTGGTTATCTCACCTTGTTACCTTTGCCCTGCCTTTTGCCCATTTCTTTCTTACTGTCTAAATCAGATTCCATAGCCTAATGTGGGTGAAAAATGGTTTCCTAGGTTTTCTTGAAAATCTTCCCCAGACACAGGAGTCAAAATCACCTTTGTCCAGATACATCATAAATTGTACTTTTCTTAAGGTGAGTTAAGGAGGGGAAGAACTCAGAGTACAGATGTTCAAAACACACCACTTAATGGTGTGGTAAAGGGGAGGTGAATAACTTCAGGACTCAAAAAAGACAATGAAGCCCTGACTGAGTGTGGCTCCTTGGTTCGGCTTCATCCAGTACACCTAAAGATTGCTGGTTTGATTCAAGTCAGGGCACATGCCCGGGTTTCAAAGCTCCATCCGGTCGGGGGGGGGGGGGGGGCTGATCCATGTTTCTCTCTCTCTTTAAAAATCAATAAAAATATTTTAAAATTTTAACAAAAGACAATGAAACAAGGCCTTATTTTAAATACACTAGACCTGCCCAGCCGGTGTGGCTCAGTGGTTGAGCATCAACTCATGCACCAAGAGGTCACCAGTTCGATTCCCAATCAGGGCACATGCCCAGGTTGTGGGATCCATCCCCAGTGGGGGGCATTCAGGAGGCAGCCAACTGATTGATGTTCTCTCTCATCAATGTTTCCATCTCTCCTTTTCCCTCTCTCTTTAAAATCAATAAAGAAAAAATTTTTTTAATACCCTAGACCTGACCACAGAGGATATACAAAAAGATAACATAGATAGATATAGCTCTGTGTTTGTGCTCGTGAGTGTGCAGATACACTCTCATACCCATCATCTCTCGGTTCATCTTCCAGCCTCCCTTGGTTTCTCTGCTCTCACTTTCTGTCTGAACCTTTTATTTCATCTTCTTCCTCCCACATAGATTTGATGAGCTGGTCTTTGTAAAGTACTTAGTGCAGAGACTGGCACAAGGTAAGCACTCAGTACATTAGCTGGTGTTATTATTACTTCCCAACTAACAGCATTTCCAAGGCTCAATCCACCCCTCTTAGCTCTGAATGCCAAATCTTTAATCTTCAACCCAATCTCTCTCCAAATTATAGTCATTTATGAGACATTAGGCTGCTGATCCCAATAACTTCCCACATAAAACTCCCCAACAACCTCCAATGCCCCATCCGTCACACACACACACACCATTTCCCTATTGCTCTGGTCCTTCTGGGCTCAAGACTTGCAGAATGTTACCAGGAAAATCCTGGCCTCAGCCTCTTCAGAAGATGGAGTTGTCTCAACTCTGCCCACACCCATGCCCCTAGTTCTGTGCCTCTCTGAGCCAAGGGGTTAAAGATATCCCAGCCACAATCATTCCTGGGCCAGCTACTAGGAAGATGCTATCATCCCAAGCTGCAACACCTTGGAAAGGACCATTGCTTCTTTGACAGATCCTTCCCCAAGCCCAGGCCTAGGCTCTCTATAGCCTTTGCAAATGGCTGATCAGTAGCAGGGGCTGGCGTAAAGGAAGAAAGGTTGTACATGGGCTCAGCCAGGTGGCAAGAGGATCACCCCAAGAGCCATGAGCAATAATTTCTAACTGTCCCTTTTGAAAAGCAACATCTTGTGAAAGGTACCTACAGAGTGCTTACTTATAACAGGGCTCAGTTCCCTTTCCCTAACTTCTCAGGTCCTATAGACTTTCCCTCCCTGTCTATAGTCACCATTCTAACTTCATCCTGGCCATCCTGCAGACCCACAGGACATCCGCACTGGGTGTGACCGTACCATCTTGGCTCTATGTCCTCACCTTACAGAGGACTTGAGGGTCTAAAAGAAGCAGCCAATATACCATTGGTTATCTGTGCTTCTCTTACACAATTCTTATTACCTTATATGAAGGTCTTGGCCCCAAGCTTGCTTGCGGATTCTTCCAGGATGTCTGAAACCTTGCCTCTTCCTGGATCCCCAGCTCTCTTCACATATGTGGCTGGTGTACAAGAAAAGTTTGAGAAAGGTGCAGCCGGTGTGGATCAATGGGTTGACCATCGTCCCATGGACTGAGAGGTCCTGGTTTGATTCCCAGTCAGGGCACATTCCTGAATTGCAGGCTTGTACCCAGTGGTGTGCGTGCAGGAGGCAGCCCATCTAGCTCTCTCCCCCTTCCTCTCTCTAAAAAATCAATTACAACATATTTTTTAAAAATTAAAAACAAAGAGAAGTTTGAGAATGGTGATGCTATTGTTATTTAGTGGATCAAAGTTTGTGCGATGCTCTTAAGAACTTTATTTTAATAAATCCAACATGGGAAAAAAATGTGTCAAGAAAGTCTCATGTAGCCCTGGCCGGTTTGGCTCAGTGGTTAGAGTGTCCGCCTGCGGTCCGGAGAGACCCGGGTTCGGTTCCCGCTAAGGGCATGTACTTCGGTTGCAGTTTGTCCCAGGCCCTGGTTGGTCGTGCGGGTGGCGACCACTCGATGTGTCCCTTTCACATCGATGTTTCCCTCTCTCTCTCTTCCTCTCTCTCCCTCCCACTCTGCCTGTACAAAAAATGGAAAAATGTCCTCGGATGAGGATTAAAAAAAAAGAAAAAAAAAAAAAGAAAGTCTCATGTAGCCCTGGCCGGTTTGGCTCAGCGGTTAGAGCATCGGCCTGCGGTCCAGAGACCCAGGTTCGGTTTCCGCTAGGGGCGTGTACCTTGGTTGCAGTTTGTCCCCGGCCCTGGTTGGGGTCGTGTGGGTGGCAGCCACTCGATGTGTCCCTTTCACGTCGATGTTTCTCTCTCTTTCTCTCTCCTTCCCACTCTATCTGAACAAAAAAAAAAAAAAAGAGGAAAAATGTCCTTGGGTGAGGATTTAAAAAAAAAAAGAAAGTCTCATGTAAAGGGTATAATGACTGGAAGATCCGGTTGAGGGAAAGAGATCCTAGAGCCAGACTGCTTGGGTTCAAAACCCAACTTCATCACTTAAACGATGGTAACTTCAGGCAAATCACTTAATCTCCTGGGCCTCCTGTCCTCATCTGTAACATGAAGAAAATAGTGCCTACCTCATGGCAAATAAAGCCACAACATAATGAGATGATCTAATGATTTAAAGCACCCAGAACAGTACCTGGCACATGTACGCTCAGTAAGTGCTACCCCCATTATGATGAAAGCAGAGTTTGGAAGGTGTGTGGAGCTGGCCTTCTGGAAGTTTAGGAAAAGGGGCTTATAGGGCACAGAAGCAAAAGGAAAAGTGACAGCCTGTGCTTATGCTGGAAGAGAAGGAGTGGCTGAAATATTAGTGAAGGCGAGTGGGGCACATTTAGGAGACAGATACAGGACCCCTGAGGAGGAAGGGCCAATGGTGGTGTCAAGAATTAACAGCTAGCCCTGGCTGGTTTGGCTCAGCGGTTAGAGCGTTGGCCTGCAGTCCAGAGAGACCTGGGTTTGGTTCCCGCTAAGGGCACGTACCTCGGTTACAGTTTGTCCCTGGCCCTGGCTGGGTCGTGCAGGAGGCAGCCACTCAATGTGTCCCTTTCACGTCGATGTTTCTCTCTCTCTCTCTCTTTCCCTCCCACTCTATCTGAACAAAAAATGAAAAATTGTCCTCGGGTGAGGTTAAAAAAAAAAAAAGAATTAACAGCTATATCCTCCTAGCCAGTGTGGCTCAGTTGGTTGAGCGTTGCCCCAGCACGTAAGTCATGGATTTGATTCCTGGTCAGGTCACAAGCCTGGCTTGAGGGCTCAATCTCTAGTAGGGGGCGTGCAGGAGGCAGCCAATCAATGTTTCTATCTCTCCCCTCTTTTTATTTTATTGTTTTTAATTTTTTTTAAGTTTTTTTAGAGAAAGGGAGAGAAATAGAAACATCAATGAGAGAGAACATCGATTGGCTGCCTCCTTCCAGGGATTTGGCCCACAACCTGGGCATGTGTCCTGACCAGGAACCAAACCAGTAACCTCTTGGTGCATGGGTCAATGACGCTCAACCACAGAGCCACACTGGCCGGGCTCTCCCTTCTTCTTTTTAAAATCATAAAAACATATTTAAAAAGAATTGGCAGCTACCATTTTTTGAGCACATAAGTATCCCAGATACCTCCAATCCTCATGTGACCCCTTCCAACTACCCAATTAAATATTAGTTTTACAAATGGCAAACCCATATGACACAGCTAGTAAGCAGCAGGGCTGACTCAAACTAAGTCATTGAGCCCTGGCTAGTTTGGCTCAGCGGTTAGTGTCAGCCCGCGGACCGGAGAGTCCCGGGTTTGGTTCCCGCTAACCGCATGTACCTCGGTTGCAGTTTGTCCCTGGCCCTGGTTGGGGTCCTGTGGGTGGCAACCACTCAATGTGTCTCACATCGATGTTTCTCTCTCTCTCCCTATCTGAAGATAAATGCAAAAAAAACAAAAGTCACTGAGCACTAGCCTTTCTCTACAGCCCCAGTGTGGGAGGGTGCTGGGCAGGTGGGCGTTAGCCGGGCTGTGCCAAGAACAGCTTCCTTGAAAAGGGCAAGGGAACAAGTAGGAAGGGGCTCCACGGGATTCCGTGACTGGGAAAGATGGGGCTGAGGGCAGGACAATGAGGAGGGGCCACTTCAGTTAACCCAACCCTGGCCTAGTAAAGCCAGGCATTTCCCTACCAAATAGGTTGCTGTCGCTGTAAAACCATTTCCTTTCTCACAGATGACGAATGGGTCAGTCTCTTCGGGGAAGAAAGGCTGGCTTTTCTTGTGCCTTCCCTATTTTACACACAAAAAACTCAGATGAAAACACTCCCTCAACCCCACTCCAGGCACAAGTCCCTTGGCCTCTGCCTCCAGCCTAGAAAGTGTTTCTGGAATATGTTCTTATTCCACTAAGGGGGTGGAACCCCATCTAGCAACTTTTAAAAACCTAAATCCAGTTTTCCGATCTTGTGTACCATTATCCCAGAAGCACTGAATTCCTGCAGGGCTGCCAGCATTCTGTGCAGAGCAAGGTCTCCCCAAGTACGCTCTTCATTATTAAATGTATTCTCAAGGTCTTTTCTTTCCCCCACCTCTCACCAAAAAGCCAAACCATGATCCAAAACAAAAAACAATTTATTCAGCAGACATTTTAATTAAGAAATCCTATAAATCAGGACCACCACAATTTCAGACACTCCGGTGCGAAGTGTACGTCAACAGCTACATCTGGAGGATGAACCAGCCATTGAATCTTTAAAAATGGGTTTAGCTACCTTGAAGTCTGGGGGCGGCACCTTACTTAAAGCGCCATCAAGTTTCACAAGGCAGAGAATCACATTTTAAAAACGGTTTCAGTCACTGACAAAGAGGAGTCGGTGGAAGGAGAAAACTGGGGGTGGGGGAGGGGGGAGGACCCACGGAGGCTCAGGCCCACGGATCCACAGAGGGGCCAGAACAGAGCAGAAAAACAGCCAGGGTTCTCATCCACCCGCTGCCGACACCAGACCGGGTGGATTAAGAAAGGCGGAATGGGAGGAGAGACTCCGGAGATTGTTTATGACTGTTTCTGAGAAAGCACATGGCATGGCCAAGAGTGGCCTCATGGGAAGAGGAGGAGTTCTGGAAAGAAGAAAGCAAAATAAAAAAATAACTCTCCCCACACGTCCCTTTCTGCCTGTCTCCTCCTCGGGAGATTCCCAAAAGGTAGGAAAGTACAGCCTGGGCTCTTCTTGGAGCAAGAGAAAGGAAGGACATGAGGGCGAGTTAGCTCTCCCAGGAACCCTACAGCCTTCCACGTATAGCAAACGGTGACCTTGAGCCACAGGTGGCAAGGTCAAGTCATTTAAAAGCCCAAATTCAACTCCAACTCTACCCACCTTCAAAATTCTCCACCTCCCTCCCACCCCCTAACTGGAGTTCACATCTCCCACATCGACCAGCTGCCAATTGGGTGGGAAAAAGGGGGCGATGCCGACCACCCACCATCAAGCTTTTACATTCTTCTCCCCTCTGGAATTTCTTCGCACAGCAATTGTAGCACCATTTTCACTAAGCTCCTCTACCGGAAAATAAAGAAAATGTATTCGTGTCATTAAGTTTTCAAGTATTGTTATAAAGCCCTCACGATTCCCGCCCCTTGGGACCCTATCTTGAAACAGTCCACGCACACGACGCCCCCAAGGGTTAAGGTCAGGTACAAATCGATAAAAGTAGCTGCCATAGTTCTCCCAGTTTATCCCAGGTCCTTGGCCCCAAGGTGGCCGGGGAAATTCTCACGCGGCACAGACGTGTCCAGGCCCGTGCTTTTATCTACGTTCAAGTTTCCCCGACCCTCCCGAGGGCGGTAACTTCTCGGTTTGAGGTCTCCCCCCCACTCGCCTCCCTGCTGCCTAGGCGGTCGCTCCCAGAACAGCAACAGCGGCTTCAGCTCAGGGCCGGAGAGGGCCGGACGCTGCTGGGTCTTCACAGCGGCCCCCTCTTCCTCCTTCAGGGCCCTCGGTCAGTGCAAGGCGCCCGAGGGCTGCAGGGCGACGGGGTCCGGTCCGCTGCAGCCGCCCCCAGTCCCGGAGGCGCCCACTGGGCCTGTGGCAGCAACCGCGGCGACAGCTCGCTGGAGCCTCCGCACGGCCTCCTTGATGAGGTTCCCCGAGTGCACGAGCTGTTGCAGGAGCCGGTGTGGGTCGTCGTCGTGGGTGCGCGCTCCGGCTGGGGGCCATCGTCGCTGCTGCAGGCTGCGGGAGGCGACAGCGCCACGCAACCATCCTCGCCTGCATGGCCCGGGCAGCGCCCTGGGGCCTGCGGCGAGTTCGGCCACAAAGTAAGGCGCAGCCCGGCCTCGCACACGGCCACGATCTCCGAGGGCGCAGCGAAGGGCCCCTGGGGGCGGCGGGCCCACCGCCTCGGGCGGCAGAAGCAGCGGCAGAACAGGGTGCCGGGCCTTGTCTGCCAGCGCCGCCGCCGGGGGCCGCAGCGGCGGCCCGGGGGGCGCGCACGGGGAAGCCGGGCTGTCCTGCGCCGCGTCCAGCTGCAGCGTCTCGCCGATCTGGGCCACCAGCAGGTCCACCTCGCCCGAGCCGCCCAGCGTCACCGACTGCTCCAGCAGGAGGAAGCTGCCGGCCTGCTCCTCCTCTTTCTCTCCCTCCGCTTCCTCGCCGGCTTCCTCTTCTTCCTCCCTCCGGCACGGCATGGCCCCCAGCCCGGGCACCAGAAGCTCTGTAGGCGTCGCTGGCAGCTCTGCGGGCCGCGGCGGCGTCGGGTGTGGTGTTGAAGCCGGGGCCGGGCCGGGCAAACGCGAAAGCTGGAGACCCGCAGGCACTCGAGCCGCTCGCTGCAGCCCCAGTAGCCGGAATCCTACCGGCTCCGGTTGATTTGTAAACAATGGGTGACGTCGCCGCGGGGCCCTACCACTGCCCAGGGACGGGGGAAGACGAACGAGGAGGCATCGCGTCGTGGGCCATCGGGGGCAGCGCAGGACTGTGGCAGGAGTCTTCTCTTATCTGCGCTCGGTATGCACCTGTAAGGGGATCCCGAGTTTGGGGAGACCTTCGAAGGTCCCCGGGGGATTAGCAACATAAGAAAATGAACACTCTGAAGTGACCTGGGTTGGTTTCTCCCACTCGCAGACACACCCACCATATGCCTAACCCCTCCTCCTGCGATACTTGCTCCCACCCCACGTGTCCTCAACGCTTGCGACCGCCCTGCTCCTCCCCCGCGCATCCGCGGTCACCCAGACCTGGGAGTGGTGGGGGAGGGCGGGCTCAGATCTGGCTACCTAGAGGTGGGGGAGGGGAAAGGGAGAGAGAATTGGGGGTGCTGAGGGGCCTTTGCAAAGGGAGGCGGAGTCGATCTGAGGTAGGGTTTGTGAGCTTTCCCCCTACAACTGAGAAGGCAAGCCAGGTGTAGGTAACCCTCTTAGCTCGCTGTGCAGAACACCCCCCCCCCTTGGCTTGTGTAATCTCGCTTGCCTCTTGCCATCAGCCAACCGCCTAAACTATAGAGGATCTGAAAAGTCCCCAAATACCCAGAAGCTTATGTATAAAAAGCAGTTGGAACCCCCTGGGGCTCAGCTTTTGGAGGTGACTCTTCTGGGCCAGCACTGGTGTGCATTAAACAGTCATTTTGTAATCCTCAGATTGTGTGCAGTCTGTCTCTTCCTGCCAACCGAATTTCTGCCACAACATTTCAGTGCATTGGCTCAGAAGCCCACAGCCGTGCTGGCCTCTTGAGCCACCTTGTTGGAAGCCAGAGAGGAGCCACTGATTTTGGGCCCCCATCATTGGAAAGGAAGGCGTGCCACCGGTGATTCACTGGAGCCTGTAGTCGGCCACTGCTGTGCTTGAATGGACTCCACGGAGGACAGAAAAGCCTGCCAGGACATCGGATCAGTAAGTGTCACCGGGACTCAGACCGAGTTCAGACCCGCCTCTAAGGCAGAATGAGAGCTTGAGCACCTCCTAGGCGGCACAGTCACGGCACAGGAGAGGGAATTCCTGGGTGGAAAGTTTAAGTTCTGTGGGACTGTGTATGTGAGTGACCGTGCTCCACAATACCCGTTACAGAGCCTAAGTGAGTCCCAACCTGTGTATCCATGGCGACCTCATGGCAGTATCAGGTTTGTGGAGACACTGTCACTATAAGCCCCCTGGCGCCTCAGTTCCAGAGAAGGGAGTGGTCAGGCTAAGGATACAAGAGTTTCCTCCTGTTTGTCTCACAACACTGTTTACTGGGAAGTTTGCTTAATCATCTTAGATATCAATATGGGGGGAATTCCTCTAAGCCCACTGTTCTGGAATCTATGCTTAAGAATTTCAAAAAGGGCCCTGGCCAGTATGGCTCAGCGGTTAGAGCGGCGGCCTGTGGACCAGAGAGTCCCAGGTTCGGTTGCCACTAGGGGCACGTACAAAAAAAAAAAAGAATTTTAAAAAGGGTTTTCAGGAGATTACTGTGTCAAATTGACTGCCAGGAAATTGCTCACCCTCTGTGAATTAGAGTGGCCCACCTTTGGTGTGGGATGGCCTTCTGAAGGCATCCTTGACGTCCCTAAAGTTCGGGTCGTGTATAGGGTAGTCACCAGAAACCCTGGCCATCCAGACCAATTACCCTACATAGACCAATGGTTGGAAATAGCCCAAATCTGGCCTCCTTGGGTTCGATTCTGTGTTACTAGTCAGGGACAGTGTAAAGTCCTGGCACAAGGTGGCACAAGGTGAAAGGAAGACTTACTTCATGGCAAGTAAAGCAGCCTCCTATATTACAAGGGGATTCGGAAGAGGTCCCTCCATTGCCACTGCCATACACCCCACTACCTGAGGATGGGGAACCTCTCCTGCTCGACAGCCCATCTCCATCCATCTCATCCGCACCACCAGCCAATGCACTGCTGCCACCAGGGTCGCTGGAGCCAGTGGGAAAACATCTCAGGTCAGCGGCCCAGAGACCAAAACCACCAGCAGCAATGCAGTTGCTACTGCAGGAATCAAGGGGTTCACAGAGAAAAGGCCCTGACAGGACCCTACAAGAAGGATCCAGATTCACCTAGACTGACTACTCAAGTGGGGACTTTTAAAGCAATGCCAGTCCCCATGGAAAACCCCCTGGCTGCCCATAAAGAAACCTGGGACAACCTGGCCAGTGTGGTTCAGTGGTTGAGCATCGACCCATGCACCAAGAAGTTGCTAGTTCGATTCCCAGTCAGGGCACATGTCCAGGTTGTGAGCCCGATCCCCAGTGGGGGGCATGCAGGAGGCGGCCGATCGATGTTCTCTCTCATTGATGTTTCTTCTCTCTCTAAAATCAATAAAGAAAAAAAAAAAGGAAACATGGGACAAACGACTACTACCCAGTACAAGACTTAAGGACCATTAATGAAGAGGTCATCACGTTGCATTTGGCACTGCCTAACCCATATACTCTATCAGGACGTATACCTTCTGAGGCGGGGTGGTTCACATGCCTAGACTTAAAGGATGCCTTCTTCTGCCTCCAACTAGTGCCCAGTAGCCCGCCTCTGTTCGCCTCCGAATGGGAAAACCCCACCACAGGAACAGAGGAACAGTTCACTTGGACTAGACTACCTCAAGGATTCAAGAATTCACCAACTTTGTTCAGTGGGGCACTAGCATCTGACTTAGCCAAGTTCCCGGGACGGAACTTAGGATGTGTCCTCTTCCAATACATAGACGACCTCTTAAGGGCCAGTCCCACTTGAACCCAATGCTGGGAAGGGACCAAGGCTTTACTCGGGCTACTGATGGAAGCTGGATATCGGGTATCAAAGAAAAAGGTGCAGATTTGCCAAAAAGAAGTCAAACACTTAGGTTTCAAGATCACCCAAGGCAAACGAATGCTAGGGGCCGAAAGGAGAGAGGCAGCCTGCGCTATTCTGTTTTCCACTTCCCATCGACAGATTCGAGAATTCCTGGGAGCAGCAGGGTTCTGTCGAATATGGACACCCGGATTTTCAGAACTGGCAAACCCTTATATGAGGCCTTGAAAGGAGAAGAAAAGGCGCCCCTTGTCTGGAACTCGATCAAGAGAAAGCATTCTCAACTATAAAGACCAAGCTCACGAAGGCACCAGCCTTAGGACTCCTGGACGTATCACGGGACTTAACCTGTTTGTGCACAAAAACTACGGAATAGCCCTGGGAGTCCTAACCCAGGAATTTGGGTCTTGGTAGAGACCGGTAGCTTACCTTTCAAAACAAGTTGACCTGGTTGCGGCAGGCTGGCCACCCTGTCCTTAGTGGCCACCACACTGCTAATTAAGGAGGCAGACAAACTCATGTTGGGACAAAATTTAAACGTCAAGGTACCCCACTCTGTTATTACCTTGATGGACGCAAGAGGACAGCATTGGCTAACTCATGCCCAAATGACCCATTACTAAGGACTCCTATATGAAAACCCACAAGTAAGACTAGAAGCAGGAAAAACTCTAAATCCTGCTACCTTTTTGCCAATAGCAGCTGGGACCTCAGAGCATGACTGCTTGGAGGTACTTGATGAAGTCTACTTCAGCCGACCAGACCTGACAGATAAACCTCTGCAGAATCCTCACCTCATTCTTTTTTTTTTTTTTAATTTATTTATTTTTGTTACAGATGTCCCCCCCACACTGATTCCCCCCTCTCCCTCCCCCCCCCCCGTCCCCAGCTTGTTGTCCATGTACATTGTTCATGCATACATGCATGTAAGTTCTGTGGTTTATCTCTCCCCCACCATCCCCCTCTTCTGGGGATTGCTGACCTTATTCTGTACCCAGACTGTAGCAGTTACATGAGTGAGGGCAAAAGATACACCGGGTATGCAATAGTTTCAGATTTTGAGACTCTGGAAGCAAGGGCTCTCCCTGAGGGATGGTCTGCCCAAAGAGCAGAACTATGAGCCCTGGTGAGGGCATCAGCAAAGATAAGCAGGCCAACATATATACTGACTCGTGCTATGCCTTTGCCACCCTACATATACATGGGGGTATATACAAAGAAAGAGGACTCCTTACTGCAGGGGGGGAAGGAATATAAAACCAAGGTGAAATCCTAAAATTGTTGTAGGTGATCTGGGAACCAAGAGAGGTAGCCGTCATCCACTGCAAGGGACACCAAAAGAAAAGAGACACATTGTCAGAAGGAAACTGTCAGGCAGACACTGCAGCTAAATAAGCCGCAAGAGAACAGGCAGCCCCATCAAAAATCGTGCTGGCTTGCCCAGCCAGTGTGGCTCAGTGGTCGAGCGTCGACCCATGCACCAAGAGGTCACCGGTTCGATTCCTGGTCAGGGCACATTCCCAGGTTGTGGGCTCAGTCCCCAGTGGGGGCCATACAGGAGGTGGCCATTTGATGTTCTCTCTCAATGATGTTGCTATCTCTCTCTACCTCTCTCTTCCTCTCTCTCTAAAATCAATAAAGAAAAAAAAAATCATGCTGGCTTCAGAACTACCTTCAACCCCAAAATACACAGCCGAGGAAGAAGAATGGGCACAACAGGAGAGGACAAATATAATGAAGGAAGGATGGTGGATACTCCCAGACCTCAGAATCTACGTGCCAGAACAATTAGCCCATCGGTTAGTCCTCCAACAGTGTGAACTCACCCATCTGGGAAAAACTGCCCTAGAAGCATTATTAAGCCGGTACTACCTAATTGCTCAACTTCCATTCCTCTGTGCCTCAGTCTTCCAACGCTGTCTTCTCTGTGCTCAAAACAATGCCAGACAAGGGCCAACTGGGCCCGCTGGGATCCAGTGCTGCAGTCAAGCACCCTTTGAAGATCTATAGGTAGAGTTCTCAGAAATAGGACCCAGTAGAGTTTATCTCCTAGTTGTTTTTGTGTGTGTGTGTGTGTGTGTGTGTGTGTTATTCCTCACCTGAGGATAT